GGTCATCTACCAGCCCTCCGCATCCATCATCCCCACCAGAAGGCTTGGTGTCGGCTGGGTCTTCTCGGACTCAGCAAGCGGCACCCGCCGCTGGTGGAGCACGTCGCATGCGTTGGTCACAAGAAATGAATGCAAACGCACTGCGGGCGTACTTTAGGGCAAAAGGGGAAGAAACTGGATGTTTGGCGTATCGGGCTAGGATGCATCGTCTTTTTGCTGAGCTGGAGCCATCTTTAATCGTCACAGAGCAAAACCTGGCAGACCGAGTTCGGTATATCTTGCGCTCAAATATATTTGATGTCGCCGAACTCGAACGGCTACGACGTGAGGCTGTTCCCTCGTCGGATGAGAATGCTACGGCTGAGGATGCGGCGCCACAAATGGTAGAGCAACCCGCAAACGTGGATGCCGCCGTGAATACCCCAGTTGTGGTTGATTCAAACGATGATGGAACAGTCGCCCAGGAACTGGAATTAGAGCATATGAGGAGTATATTGGAAGAGGCGATTGTGGAAACGCGCAGTACGCCTCTCGAAAATCGACCGCGACTTCCCCGCATAGCCCTAAGCAAGCGGAATCGGGCTGTCGTGAGGGCTCTGAACCCAATGCTGGTTACCTATTTGGAAGCCAGCCGGGACCTTTGCGAGAGGGATCAATTCTTTTTGGCGCCGCGCTGGCAGTCTGCCGTATCATAGGCGCCAAGGTTTCCACGGCTGGACGCGCTACTGGCCATAGTAGCGCTATCCCAGCATGGAGAAGAAGAATTGAGGAACGTATCGCAAAGGCTAGAGCTCTCATCGGCAGACTGATATGCTTCAGATCAGGCAACAACAGGCCAAGAATTGTGCGCACCGTCAGGATGGCGTTTGCTGGGACAAATGTCAGTTTGTCCCAGCCGGATATAACGCAAAAACTGACGGAGCGCATAGATGATCTGAAGCAGAGAATCGCTGCTTGGGGAAAGCGGATTCGGCGATATACCGAGAGGTCGACACGGTTCAACCAGAATCGTCTCTTCCAGAGTGATCAGAAGAGGCTCTATGAATCATTGGAGCGACCAATGGTAAGTGGAACGGGTCCAGCACCGGATCAGGCCGACACTGTAGCATTCTGGCGCGGCCTGTGGTCAGAGCCCGTAAACCACAGCGAGGGCCCTTGGACGGAAGTTGTGGCGAGTCAGTGTGCGGGTATTACGCCCATGGACCCCGTCATCATAACGCCGGATGACGTAGCTGAGGCGGTTCGTAGGGCCCCGAACTGGAAAAGTCCGGGGCTTGACGGGCTGCATCACTACTGGCTGAAGGGGTTCATGGTGTGTCACTCTGTGCTCGCCCGACAGTTTCAAGAGGCTCTCAACCAGAAGTCGCTCCCAAGCCTCTTCACTACTGGGATCACTCATTTAGTTCCTAAAGACCAGGGTACCACAGACCCGAGCAAATACCGCCCCATCACGTGTCTACCGACCATATACAAGACACTAACATCCATTTTGAGCGCGAGAATCATTTGTCACCTGGACTCAAATCAGGTGATGTCGCGCGCTCAAAATGGATGTCGGGGCGGTGGTCGTGGAACCAAGGAACCACTCCTCATTGACGCGGTCATTGGCAAAGTGGTGAAACGCAACCGTCGGAACTTCTCCGCCGCCTGGATAGACTACAGAAAGGCATTCGACTCGGTGCCCCATACATGGCTAAAGAGAGTCCTCGAGCTGTACAAGATAGACTGTACAGTTAGAGACTTCCTCGAGCAGTGTATGGGGCAGTGGAGTACGATCCTTTGTCATCTAGGCAAGCGGATGATGGCTGCGGAGAACCACATAAGGATAAGAAGGGGTATCTTCCAGGGCGATTGTCTGAGTCCAATCTGGTTCTGCCTCTCTCTGAACCCTCTCAGTACCTTACTGGAGGGCTCCGGGAGGGGATTTCAGCTACGGAAAGGAGGGACAAAAGTGACCCACCTTTTCTATATGGATGACCTCAAGTTATTCGCCTCCAGTCGCTCCCATCTTATGGAATTGTTAAACATCACTTGTGAATTTAGCAATTCTATTGGAATGGAGCTGGGAACGGATAAGTGTGCGGTCCTCCATGTTGAAAGGGGACGGGTTGCTAACTCTGAGGGCGTAGACTTATCTATGCCCGTCAACTTAAGGACCCTTTCCGAGGCTGAAACATACCGATACCTGGGTATGTCACAAAACATCGGTATCGATGAGACTGGTATGAAACAGTCAGTTTGCGACGTGTTTTATGCACGCTTGACCAAAGTGCTTAACAGCCTTTTGTCCGGTGTGAATAAGGCACACGCATATAACGGCTGGATCATGCCTGTCCTCATGTATACCTTTGGCATACTCAGGTGGACTCAGACTGAACTTAACGCCCTGGATAGAAAAATCCGCACTACAATGACGTCCCATAGGATGCATCATCCGAGATCGTCGGTAATGAGGCTGTACTTGCCGCGGAAGCATGGTGGTCGTGGCTTCTTGAGCGCGCTCACCATGCATAATCGCGAAGTGTGCAGCCTCCGTGATTACTTCCTGGCGAGATCGGATGATCCATTCTATAAGGACGTCATTTCTTGTGATAAAGGACTTACCCCTCTATCCTTAGCCAACGAGCAATGGCAAGACCCGGCAGTGCAGAGCATTTCTGACCGGGAGACCGTATGGAAGGAGAAGGAGCTCCACGGGAGGTTCTACAAGGCTCTGCATGAGCCTTTCGTAGACACAGTAGCCTCCCTCCACTGGCTACGCTTTGGTGATCTCTTCGGGGAAACCGAGGGTTTTGCTGTGCAATACAGGATCAGGTTATTAAGACCAACAACTATCGGAGATACATCCTAAAGGATGGCACCGTCGACATCTGTCGAGCTTGTCGCCATCCCGGTGAGTCACTTAGGCATGTTATCTCCGGTTGTTCGGCGCTTTCTAACTCTGAGTACTTGCACAGGCACAACCTAGTAGCCAGAATTCTACACCAGGAGCTCGCTCTGAAATACGGTCTCGTGGATCGGAAATTGCCGTATTACAAGTACTTGCCGGAAGCCGTGCTCGAAAATGATCGCGCCAGGCTCTATTGGGACCGTGCCATCATCACAGACAGGACTATTCTTGCGAATAAGCCTGATATTGTGCTGATGGACCGGGCACAGTCAAGGATATTTTTGGTCGACATTACCATTCCGTATGACGAGAACCTCGTGAAAGCCGAAACAGACAAGCAAACAAAATATCTGGACCTGGCTCACGAGGTGACCGACATGTGGGGTGGTCTGCCGACCGAAATTATTCCTGTAGTCGTCTCTGCAAACGGGCTAATCCCAGTCAGCCTCTCGGGTCATCTGAGGCGGCTGGGACTACGTGGCGGACCGCTCCAGGTTCAAATGCAGAAGGCGGTGCTCCTCGATACCGCCCGCATCGTCCGCCGGTTTCTTTCCCTTTCCCCCTAACCCTCGGCCGTTTGGTCTCCCCTGCCGAGGGCCTCCATCTGGTTGGGCTTTTATTTATTTATGTACTTTTATATTTATTTTATGTTATTGATATTTATGTATATTTGTCTTTTCATTTTCATTTATAATTATATATTTATAGCACCCAACCAGATGAGAAAACTATATAGATACCCCAAAATAATAATAATAATAAATATCTGGACCTGGCTCATGAGGTGACCGACATGTGGGGTGGTCTGCCGACCGAAATTATTCCTGTAGTCGTCTCTGCAAACGGGCTAATCCCAGTCAGCCTCTCGGGTCATCTGAGGCGGCTGGGACTACGTGGCGGACCGCTCCAGGTTCAAATGCAGAAGGCGGTGCTCCTCGATACCGCCCGCATCGTCCGCCGGTTTCTTCCCCTTTCCCCCTAACCCTCGGCCGTTTGGTCTCCCCTGCCGAGGGCCTCCATCTGGTTGGGCTTTTACTTATTTATGTACTTTTATATTTATTTTATGTTATTGATATTTATGTATATTTATCTTTTCATTTTCATTTATAATTATATATTTATAGAACCCAACCAGATGAGAAAACTATATAGATACCCCACAATAATGATAATTAAAAATTAAAAATATTAAGGCGTAGGGAAGTGACGACCCCATCGCCCGCTGACGTAACGGTTATGCGACAAAACCGCTACGTCAGCGCAGTCAGTCAGCACCTTGCCAAGAGGTGTTAGTGCCGTGCCTCGGCAAAAATTGAAGGTGCAAAGGCCCGCTTGTGCACATGGCCTCACCATGAAACGGCGCCGGGTCTGGGCGTCTCCCGCTAAATGACGCCCACCACTATGGATGATGGAATACGGAAGAACGCGCAAAGGGCCGCTGCCTGGAGGTCGCCAGGGCGCGTCTGGAGCTGGCGCTGGACGCGGCAGCATGCGGTGCTGCACGACCACCCAGCAGCCCCTCGCATCCATCATCCCCACTAGCTGGCTTGGTGTCGGCAGGGTCTTCGCGGGCCCAGCAATCAGCACCCGCCTCTGGTGGAGTACGCCGCATGCGTTGGACAACCCAGATGAACAGCAACGCATTGCGGGCGTATTTTGGGGCGAAAGGGGGAGAAACTGGATGTTTGGCGTATCGGGCTAGGATGCATCGTTTTTTTTTCTGAGCTGGAGCCATCTTTAACCGTCACAGAGCAAAACCTGGCAGACCGAGTTCGGTATATCTTGCGCTCAAATATATTTGATGTCGCCGAACTCGAACGGCTACGACGTGAGGCTGTTCCCTCGTCGGATGAGAATGCTACGGCTGAGGATGCGGCGCCACAAATGGTAGAGCAACCCGCAAACGTGGATGCCGCCGTGAATACCCCAGTTGTGGTTGATTCAAACGATGATGGAACAGTCGCCCAGGAACTGGAATTAGAGCATATGAGGAGTACATTGGAAGAGGCGATTGTGGAAACGCGCAGTACGCCTCTCGAAAATCGACCGCGACTTCCCCCGCATAGCCCTAAGCAAGCGGAATCGGGCTGTCGTGAGGGCTCTGAACCCAATGCTGGTGACCTATTTGGAAGCCAGCCGGGACCTTTGCGAGACGGACTCAATTCTTTTTGGCGCCGCGCTGGCAGTCTGCCGTATCATAGGCGCCAAGGTTTCCACGGCTGGACGCGCTACTGGCCATAGTAGCGCTATCCCAGCATGGAGAAGAAGAATTGAGGAACGTATCGCAAAGGCTAGAGCTCTCATCGGCAGACTGATATGCTTCAGATCAGGCAACAACAGGCCAAGAATTGTGCGCACAGTCAGGATGGCGTTTGCTGGGACAAATGTTAGTTTGTCCCAGCCGGATATAACGCAAAAACTGACGGAGCGCATAGATGATCTGAAGCAGAGAATCGCTGCTTGGGGAAAACGGATTCGGCGATATACCGAGAGGTCGACACGGTTCAACCAGAATCGTCTCTTCCAGAGTGATCAGAAGAGGCTCTATGAATCATTGGAGCGACCAATGGTAAGTGGAACGGGTCCAGCACCGAATCAGGCCGACACTGTAGCATTCTGGCGCGGCCTGTGGTCAGAGCCCGTAAACCACAGCGAGGGCCCTTGGACGGAAGTTGTGGCGAGTCAGTGTGCGGGTATTACGCCCATGGACCCCGTCATCATAACGCCGGATGACGTAGCTGAGGCGGTCCGTAGGGCCCCGAACTGGAAAAGTCCGGGGCTTGACGGGCTGCATCACTACTGGCTGAAGGGGTTCATGGTGTGTCACTCTGTGCTTGCCCGACAGTTTCAAGAGGCTCTCAACCAGAAGTCGCTCCCAAGCCTCTTCACTACTGGGATCACTCATTTGGTTCCTAAAGACCAGGGTACCACAGACCCGAGCAAATACCGCCCCATCACGTGTCTACCGACCATATACAAGACACTAACATCCATTTTGAGCGCGAGAATCACTTGTCACCTGGACTCAAATCAGGTGATGTCGCGCGCTCAAAATGGATGTCGGGGCGGTGGTCGTGGAACCAAGGAACCACTCCTCATTGACGCGGTCATTGGCAAAGTGGTGAAACGCAACCGTCGGAACTTCTCCGCCGCCTGGATAGACTACAGAAAGGCATTCGACTCGGTGCCCCATACATGGCTAAAGAGAGTCCTCGAGCTGTACAAGATAGACTGTACAGTTAGAGACTTCCTTGAGCAGTGTGTAGCAGCCAGATTAATCAAACCTAAACGGGAATAAATAAGATATACTCCGCTGCTACCATAACGCGGAAGGCGAGAATAAATAAAAAAAAAAACATTTTATTTCCTAATTATTCTTGGCTACTGAGATACTGCGGACTGTATATAGATAATTTGACGTTCTTATAAAGAAACAAGAAGCAGCCGCAAATATCATTCAGCGCCACACCGACTTCACACGCCGCTATCGTCGCGTATCCGTCGACCAATGGTGAGCCGTTTCTTCAACGCCGCAGTTCGTTTCCTCTTGCTGTTCCGGAGCTGTATTCCACACCGCCGCCGCCCGCCGACTACGCGTGCGCACCGATCTGCATGTCTTATATAGCCCGGTCCAGCGACGTAGCTTCGTGAACAACAAACAAGTCTCACGCCGGGAAACGAAACGTAGATAATTGTATATTTTAAATAGTTTTCATTGGTCATAAAATAAGCAATATAATTGGCTAGGCAAAATATTAATTGTTACCATTGGCAAATCAATAGTGAGCCAGCCATATAAATATAGGCAAGGTTGATGCAAAAGATATTCCATTCCGAATCCCATTCGACAGTACATTCATAAACATAAACAGTAGTTTCATTTCTCCACCTTAAAGAAAACCACTCGGAGTCTGTTAATAGTGGACAGTTCGACTCCACTATTACAGTGGTGACCATCCGACGTGATTTGAACGCGCAACCAAACAACCTTCGGAAACTTCAAGCTTCATCATCGTCATAGAATACCCCACCCATTCGCTCCCGAGCAGATATAAACTGCAGTCTTCATATCCTGCAAGCCATCTAGCTTCACAAGGTTCATCGCAGCACTGGAATAATAATGCTTCCTGTTCCTTCAAGCTACTCTCTGCGCTATACAGTGTTCGGCACGGCTCTGAGCCTTACTGCTCGCCTCTGCTTCACGGCACTCTCGCAGATTACTTGCCTTCTTCTCGACTCATCGCAGACTACAAGGCAATCTCCTGGCACTTGCACATTCGTCGGCAACGAGGCTGCACTATCGACCTCCGGTCTGAGCAGGGGGTGATGTAGCGGCGGTGTCGTCGCGCCACAAGCAAAACACACCGAAGCTTAAATCACGCTATCAACATTCCGAATCATAGACAATATATATAGAACTTCTCCGAACTATCATTCGGAGTGTAGGCCGCTCCCCGGGCAGAACACCTTGCCCGGCGGGAGATCTCCCCTTTTCCTTTCATACTCCGGCCACAGTGGTGACCCCGACGTGATTTGAACGCGCAACCAAACAACCTTCGGAAACTTCAAGCTTCATCATCGTCATAGAATACCCCACCCATTCGCTCCCGAGCAGATATAAACTGCAGTCTTCATATCCTGCAAGCCATCTAGCTTCACAAGGTTCATCGCAGCACTGGAATAATAATGCTTCCTGTTCCTTCAAGCTACTCTCTGCGCTATACAGTGTTCGGCACGGCTCTGAGCCTTACTGCTCGCCTCTGCTTCACGGCACTCTCGCAGATTACTTGCCTTCTTCTCGACTCATCGCAGACTACAAGGCAATCTCCTGGCACTTGCACATTCGTCGGCAACGAGGCTGCACTATCGACCTCCGGTCTGAGCAGGGGGGTGATGTAGCGGCGGTGTCGTCGCGAAGTCTTCAATACACTGCACAACATTAGTCATCCAGGTGTTAGAACAACAAGAAAACTCATCACTGAAAAATTCTTTTGGCCTGCAATGCAAGCGGATGTTGGCAACGGGGCGAAGCAATGCATTCAATGCCAAAAATGCAAAGTACAAAGGCATACATCAAGTAGTCTAGCTACATTTCCACCCACGGAGAGATTCGAACACTTGCACGTTGACATCGTTGGACCATTACCTACTTCACCGCAAGGACATCGTTATCTCGTAACAATGATCGACAGAACAACAAGATGGCCAGAAGCAATACCTACCGATGATACTTCAGCCGAATCCGTCGCGAAGATAATTTATGAAAATTGGATTACTCGTTTCGGATCACCTAAAACCATCACAACGGATCAAGGAAGGAATTTCGAAAGCAACCTATTCCTCAAACTTCTTCAAACTATGGGAATACAGAAGACGCGTACAACAGCATACCATCCTCAGTCAAACGGAATAATCGAACGATGGCATCGTACATTAAAGACTGCACTCAAAACTCGTTTATCTCAACATACAAAGTGGATTGATGAGCTACCTACAGTGCTACTCGGACTACGAGCAACACCGCGTGCAGACACTAGTCTTAGCGCCGCTCAGCTAACCTACGGCTGCAGCATAAGGCTGCCGTGTGACTTCTTCAGTTCAGCAGCGTCAAACAAACAAGAAATGGATTACGATTTCGTAACTAAACTTCGAGAATCAATTAACAAAGCCTTATCGTTGAAATGCACCGAAATGCAATCACACAGAAATAATAAATCAGTATTCATTCACCAAGATTTGAAAACATGCAAACAAGTTTTTGTAAGAAACGACGCAATGAAAAAACAATTTCAACCTACCTACGATGGACCGTATAAAGTATTAGAGAGAAATAGCAAGACTTTTAAACTACAAATACCCGGAAGGAAATCTACGATTATATCGATCGACCGACTAAAGCCTGCCTATATTATTAACGAGGATACTGCAGAGGATTCATCATCATCATCAAAACCACCAGCGAGGAAGCTTGAAACTTCATCATCTACATCAACCCAGTTGAAACCTATTTTAAAAACTACGAAATACGGGCGAGTCGTCAAGCCTCCGGTACGCTTTCGCTGGGGGGAGAGTGATGTAGCAGCCAGATTAATCAAACCTAAACGGGAATAAATAAGATATACTCCGCTGCTACCATAACGCGGAAGGCGAGAATAAATAAAAAAAAACATTTTATTTCCTAATTATTCTTGGCTACTGAGATACTGCGGACTGTATATAGATAATTTGACGTTCTTATAAAGAAACAAGAAGCAGCCGCAAATATCATTCAGCGCCACACCGACTTCACACGCCGCTATCGTCGCGTATCCGTCGACCAATGGTGAGCCGTTTCTTCAACGCCGCAGTTCGTTTCCTCTTGCTGTTCCGGAGCTGTATTCCACACCGCCGCCGCCCGCCGACTACGCGTGCGCACCGATCTGCATGTCTTATATAGCCCGGTCCAGCGACGTAGCTTCGTGAACAACAAACAAGTCTCACGCCGGGAAACGAAACGTACATAATTGTATATTTTAAATAGTTTTCATTGGTCATAAAATAAGCAATATAATTGGCTAGGCAAAATATTAATTGTTACCATTGGCAAATCAATAGTGAGCCAGCCATATAAATATAGGCAAGGTTGATGCAAAAGATATTCCATTCCGAATCCCATTCGACAGTACATTCATAAACATAAACAGTAGTTTCATTTCTCCACCTTAAAGAAAACCACTCGGAGTCTGTTAATAGTGGACAGTTCGACTCCACTATTACAAGTGTATGGGGCAGTGGAGTACGATCCTTTGTCATCTGGGCGAGCGGATGATGGCTGCGGAGAACCACATAAGGATAAGAAGGGGTATCTTCCAGGGCGATTGTCTGAGTCCAATCTGGTTCTGCCTCTCTCTGAACCCTCTCAGTACCTTACTGGAGGGCTCCGGGAGGGGATTTCAGCTACGGAGAGGAGGGACAAAAGTGACCCACCTTTTCTATATGGATGACCTCAAGTTATTCGCCTCCAGTCGCTCCCATCTTATGGAATTGCTAAACATCACTTGTGAATTTAGCAATTCCATTGGAATGGAGCTTGGGACGGATAAGTGTGCGGTCCTCCATGTTGAAAGGGGAAGGGTTGCGAACTCTGAGGGCGTAGACTTATCTATGCCCGTCAACTTAAGGACCCTTTCCGAGGCTGAAACATACCGATACCTGGGTATGTCACAAAACATCGGTATCGATGAGACTGGTATGAAACAGTCAGTTTGCGACGTGTTTTATGCACGCTTGACCAAAGTGCTTAACAGCCTTTTGTCCGGTGTGAATAAGGCACACGCATATAACGGCTGGGTCATGCCTGTCCTCATGTATACCTTTGGCATACTCAGGTGGACTCAGACTGAACTTAACGCCCTGGATAGAAAAGTCCGCACTACCATGACGTCCCATAGGATGCATCATCCGAGATCGTCGGTAATGAGGTTGTACTTGTCGCGGAAGCATGGTGGTCGTGGCTTCTTGAGCGCACTCACCATGCATAATCGCGAAGTGTGCAGCCTCCGTGATTACTTCCTGGCGAGATCGGATGATCCATTCTATATGGACGTCATTTCTTGTGATAAAGGACTTACCCCTCTATCCTTAGCCAACGAGCAATGGCAAGACCCGGCAGTGCAGAGCATTTCCGACCGAGAGACCGTATGGAAGGAGAAGGAGCTCCACGGGAGGTTCTACAAGGCTCTACATGAGCCTTTCGTAGACACAGTAGCCTCCCTCCACTGGCTACGCTTTGGTGATCTCTTCGGGGAAACCGAGGGTTTTGTCTGTGCAATACAGGATCAGGTTATTAAGACCAACAACTATCGGAGATACATCCTAAAGGATGGCACCGTCGACATCTGTCGAGCTTGTCGCCATCCCGGTGAGTCACTTAGGCATGTTATCTCCGGTTGTTCGGCGCTTTCTAACTCTGAGTACTTGCACAGGCACAACCTAGTAGCCAGAATTCTACACCAGGAGCTCGCTCTGAAATACGGTCTCGTGGACCGGAAATTGCCGTACTACAAGTACTTGCCGGAAGCCGTGCTCGAAAATGATCGCGCCAGGCTCTATTGGGACCGGGCCATCATCACAGACAGGAATATTCTTGCGAATAAGACTGATATTGTGCTGATGGACCGGGCACAGTCAAGGATATTTTTGGTCGACATTACCATTCCGTATGACGAGAACCTCGTGAAAGCCGAAACAGACAAGCAAACAAAATATCTGGACCTGGCTCACGAGGTGACCGACATGTGGGGTGGTCTGCCGACCGAAATTATTCCTGTAGTCGTCTCTGCAAACGGGCTAATCCCAGTCAGCCTCTCGGGTCATCTGAGGCGGCTGGGACTACGTGGCGGACCGCTCCAGGTTCAAATGCAGAAGGCGGTGCTCCTCGATACCGCCCGCATCGTCCGCCGGTTTCTTTCCCTTTCCCCCCTAACCCTCGGCCGTTTGGTCTCCCCTGCTGAGGGCCTCCATCTGGTTGGGCTTTTATTTATTTATGTACTTTTATATTTATTTTATGTTATTGATATTTATGTATATTTATTTTTTCATTTTAATTTATAATTATATATTTATAGAACCCAACCAGATGAGAAAACTATATAGATACCCCATAATAATAATAATAGGCGTAAGGAAGTAATATAATAAAAAGCGTAGGGAAGTGACGACCCCATCGCCCGCTGACGAAACAGTTAAGTGACAAAACTGCTACGTTGGTGCAGTCAGTCAGCGCCTTGCCAAGAGGTGTGAGCGCCGTGCCTCGGCAGTACTCAGGGTACAAAGGCCCGTTTGTGCTTACGGCCGTACAATGATACAATGAAACGGTGCCGGGCCTGGGCGTCTCCCGTTAATTGGCGCCCAAAAATGGATGATGGATATGATTGGAAAACGTATAGGGCCGCTGCCTGGGGGTCGCCGGGGCGCGTCTGGAGCTGGCGCTGGACGCGGCAGAATGCAGGCCGCCAGCCGAGCGCGAGGAGCTGCAAGAACACCTAACAGCCCCCCGCATCCATCATCCCCACCAGACGGCTTGATGTCGGCAGGGTCCTCTCGGACTCGGCAAGCGGCATCCGCCGCTGGTGGAGTGCGCCGCATGCGTTGGACAAGGGATATGAACGCAAACGCATTGCGGGCGTACTATAGGGCGAAAGGGGAAGAAACAGCGGGGATAGCGTATCGGGCACGGATGCATTGCTTTTTTGCTGAGCTGGAGCCGTCTATTCCCGTCACGGAACAAAACCTGGCAGACCGAGTTCGGTATATCTTGCGCTCAAATATATTTGATGTCGCCGAACTCGAACGGCTACGACGTGAGGCTGTTCCCTCGTCGGATGAGAATGCTACGGCTGAGGATGCGGCGCCACAAATGGTAGAGCAACCCGCAAACGTGGATGCCGCCGTGAATACCCCAGTTGTGGTTGATTCAAACGATGATGGAACAGTCGCCCAGGAACTGGAATTAGAGCATATGAGGAGTACATTGGAAGAGGCGATTGTGGAAACGCGCAGTACGCCTCTCGAAAATCGACCGCGACTTCCCCGCATAGCCCTAAGCAAGCGGAATCGGGCTGTCGTGAGGGCTCTGAACCCAATGCTGGTGACCTATTTGGAAGCCAGCCGGGACCTTTGCGAGACGGACTCAATTCTTTTTGGCGCCGCGCTGGCAGTCTGCCGTATCATAGGCGCCAAGGTTTCCACGGCTGGACGCGCTACTGGCCATAGTAGCGCTATCCCAGCATGGAGAAGAAGAATTGAGGAACGTATCGCAAAGGCTAGAGCTCTCATCGGCAGACTGATATGCTTCAGATCAGGCAACAACAGGCCAAGAATTGTGCGCACCGTCAGGATGGCGTTTGCTGGGACAAATGTTAGTTTGTCCCAGCCGGATATAACGCAAAAACTGACGGAGCGCATAGATGATCTGAAGCAGAGAATCGCTGCTTGGGGAAAACGGATTCGGCGATATACCGAGAGGTCGACACGGTTCAACCAGAATCGTCTCTTCCAGAGTGATCAGAAGAGGCTCTATGAATCATTGGAGCGACCAATGGTAAGTGGAACGGGTCCAGCACCGAATCAGGCCGACACTGTAGCATTCTGGCGCGGCCTGTGGTCAGAGCCCGTAAACCACAGCGAGGGCCCTTGGACGGAAGTTGTGGCGAGTCAGTGTGCGGGTATTACGCCCATGGACCCCGTCATCATAACGCCGGATGACGTAGCTGAGGCGGTCCGTAGGGCCCCGAACTGGAAAAGTCCGGGGCTTGACGGGCTGCATCACTACTGGCTGAAGGGGTTCATGGTGTGTCACTCTGTGCTTGCCCGACAGTTTCAAGAGGCTCTCAACCAGAAGTCGCTCCCAAGCCTCTTCACTACTGGGATCACTCATTTGGTTCCTAAAGACCAGGGTACCACAGACCCGAGCAAATACCGCCCCATCACGTGTCTACCGACCATATACAAGACACTAACATCCATTTTGAGCGCGAGAATCATTTGTCACCTGGACTCAAATCAGGTGATGTCGCGCGCTCAAAATGGATGTCGGGGCGGTGGTCGTGGAACCAAGGAACCACTCCTCATTGACGCGGTCATTGGCAAAGTGGTGAAACGCAACCGTCGGAACTTCTCCGCCGCCTGGATAGACTACAGAAAGGCATTCGACTCGGTGCCCCATACATGGCTAAAGAGAGTCCTCGAGCTGTACAAGATAGACTGTACAGTTAGAGACTTCCTTGAGCAGTGTATGGGGCAGTGGAGTACGATCCTTTGTCATCTGGGCGAGCGGATGATGGCTGCGGAGAACCACATAAGGATAAGAAGGGGTATCTTCCAGGGCGATTGTCTGAGTCCAATCTGGTTCTGCCTCTATCTGAACCCTCTCAGTACCTTACTGGAGGGCTCCGGGAGGGGATTTCAGCTACGGAGAGGAGGGACAAAAGTGACCCACCTTTTCTATATGGATGACCTCAAGTTATTCGCCTCCAGTCGCTCCCATCTTATGGAATTGCTAAACATCACTTGTGAATTTAGCAATTCCATTGGAATGGAGCTTGGGACGGATAAGTGTGCGGTCCTCCATGTTGAAAGGGGAAGGGTTGCTAACTCTGAGGGCGTAGACTTATCTATGCCCGTCAACTTAAGGACCCTTTCCGAGGCTGAAACATACCGATACCTGGGTATGTCACAAAACATCGGTATCGATGAGACTGGTATGAAACAGTCAGTTTGCGACGTGTTTTATGCACGCTTGACCAAAGTGCTTAACAGCCTTTTGTCCGGTGTGAATAAGGCACACGCATATAACGGCTGGGTCATGCCTGTCCTCATGTATACCTTTGGCATACTCAGGTGGACTCAGACTGAACTTAACGCCCTGGATAGAAAAGTCCGCACAACCATGACGTCCCATAGGATGCATCATCCGAGATCGTCGGTAATGAGGTTGTACTTGTCGCGGAAGCATGGTGGTCGTGGCTTCTTGAGCGCGCTCACCATGCATAATCGCGAAGTGTGCAGCCTCCGTGATTACTTCCTGGCGAGATCGGATGATCCATTCTATATGGACGTCATTTCTTGTGATAAAGGACTTACCCCTCTATCCTTAGCCAACGAGCAATGGCAAGACCCGGCAGTGCAGAGCATTTCCGACCGAGAGACCGTATGGAAGGAGAAGGAGCTCCACGGGAGGTTCTACAAGGCTCTACATGAGCCTTTCATAGACACAGTAGCCTCCCTCCACTGGCTACGCTTTGGTGATCTCTTCGGGGAAACCGAGGGTTTTGTCTGTGCAATACAGGATCAGGTTATTAAGACCAACAACTATCGGAGATACATCCTAAAGGATGGCACCGTCGACATCTGTCGAGCTTGTCGCCATCCCGGTGAGTCACTTAGGCATGTTATCTCCGGTTGTTCGGCGCTTTCTAACTCTGAGTACTTGCACAGGCACAACCTAGTAGCCAGAATTCTACACCAGGAGCTCGCTCTGAAATACGGTCTCGTGGACCGGAAATTGCCGTACTACAAGTACTTGGCGGAAGCCGTTCTCGAAAATGATCGCGCCAGGGTCTATTGGGACGGGGCCATCATCACAGACAGGACTATTCTTGCGAATAAGCCTGACATTGTGCTGATGGACCGGGCACAGTCAAGGATATTTTTGGTCGACATTACCATTCCGTATGACGAGAACCTCGTGAAAGCCGAAACAGACAAGCAAACTAAATATCTGGACCTGGCTCACGAGGTGACCGACATGTGGGGTGGTCTGCCGACCGAAATTATTCCTGTAGTCGTCTCTGCAAACGGGCTAATCCCAGTCAGCCTCTCGGGTCATCTGAGGCGGCTGGGACTACGTGGCGGACCGCTCCAGGTTCAAATGCAGAAGGCGGTGCTCCTCGATACCGCCCGCATCGTCCGCCGGTTTCTTTCCCTTTCCCCCTAACCCTCGGCCGTTTGGTCTCCCCTGCCGAGGGCCTCCATCTGGTTGGGCTTTTATTTATTTATGTACTTTTATATTTATTTTATGTTATTGATATTTATGTATATTTATTTTTTCATTTTCATTTATAATTATATATTTATAGAACCCAACCAGATGAGAAAACTATATAGATACCCCATAATAATAATAAAGCCTTTATTGATCCAAAACATCGGTTTCCGTTAGAAAAAAGTACATTAAGTATAAATATTATAAGCTAAATATGTCATGGCCCCTTTCAGGTATAGGCTCCAGTTGCCTCCATTTTTTCCTGTCGGTAGCTGTTTCCACCAAGTTTCTTCCTGCTACTTCTGATATGTCGTCGACCCAGCGAGCTGTTGGTCTGCCCTTTTTTCTTTTTGCTCCAGGACCTCCAGGGCCCTTCCAAATGGTTGTTCGCTTGACCCATCTGTCTGCAGAGGAGCGGGCGATGTGTCCTACCCATTTCCATTTTAAACGTAGTGCATGTTTCAGTGCGTTTATCACTTGGGTCTTTTGTCTTATTTTTTCACTATTTTCTTTATCTAAAATTTTTATACCGAGGATGCTCCTCTCCATAGCCCCTCTCCATAGCAATCCGGTCCATAAGACAACTTAACGATGCGCCCACGGCGCCAATACGAAGGCAAAGCGTTAAGTTCTTTTACTAACACGAGATCTCCAACCCGACGAGGATCCGTCTTGTCAGACCACTTAACAAAAACTCTGAGTCATTTGTTGCAGCAGGTCAAATCTGCTTAACCGCGAAGAGTTTGTTTCCATGAAGGGGTACTCGGGCAGGGCGTTAAGCGGCTGGCCAATCAGGAAGTGGCCCGGGGTTAGAACCTCCAAATCATTCGGATCGGACGAGAGGGGACAGAGGGGCCGAGAGTTGAGTACCGCCTCAATTTTACAGAATACAGTGGCAAGCTCCTCAAATGTCAAAATAGTTTCGCCAATAACGCGACGGAGATGCGTTTTTGCAACCTTAACCACCGCCTCAAAATACCGCCCCAGTGTGCGCAAGCGGGAGGGTCGAATTTCCACTGGATGCCCTTCTTGGACATCGTAGTACCTAAATAAGTCTTGTTGCTGGACAGTTCGACGACCTCTTTCAAATATCTATCCGTGCCCTTATATTCGTTCCGCAATCAGACCGGATCAGGTCCGGCAAACCGCGACGTGATACGAAGCGGCCCACGAACTTGTAAATGCCCTCAGCACTGAAGCCACAAAGGTTTCAGTGCTGAGGGCATTTACAAGTTCTAAGTGAACGTCCTTAGTGGCAAGGCACACGAAAACGCCAGATAGGCCTTGTGAGCGGTTAGAAGAGGCGAGGAAGGGGCAAGTGGTCCGCTCCAGCAAATGGTCGCCTGACGCAGTCGGGTGGTAAGTCACCCATCATCGGCTGCGATATGGTGGCCTTCAGTTTATAACAAGGTATACATACACAGGGTGCGTCGGCCAGCCACAATCCAAAACCCCCGCTGCAAAATAGCCGAAAGAGCGTTACACCCAGCGTGGGCATTCTGAACATGATGGTGGGTTACCAGCAACCGAACAAAGGCGCCGTCCTTAGGGAGCAGTAACAGGTGTCGAGCTCCGTACGGCAGTTGAGAATTTTTAAACGTCCGCCAACGCGCAGCATCCCAGCGTCGTCCAGGAAGAGGTTCAGGCGAGCCAGAGTCTACCCCGCTTCAAGGTTTCAATCACGGGCTCAAAATGCTCCGCTTGGACCATACGGGTCCAATGCATCAAGGCTTCGCGACGCTCGCTAGGGGACAAAACGGAATCAGAGATTCAGTTGGATGGGTCTCCCGAATTGCGGACAAATCGACGCAACCAAGCAGTCACTCCTAAGAGCTTATCGAGAGAGCTGTACCGTTCTAGCAGGGAGAAATCCCGAGTGGGCTTATCATTGCCCACTCCTACTCAGGCTCGTAGACCAGGCAATTAAATTGGTTCGGAGTATTTATTCTGGGGCCAGAATGACTGAGACTCAGTCAACCAACTGAGACCCCACCACAGCGGGTGGTCAACCAAATAGGGGGCTTCACAGCCGCGAGAAGCGCAGTCTGCGGGATTCAACTCCCTGGGACATGTCTCCAGTTTAGAGACGTACCAGATTTCTGGATTTGAGACGCGGTTTGCCACAAAGACCTCAAGATTGTGAGGTGCAGCTCTGAGCCAACAAAGTACTATTTCACTGTCCGACCAAGCGTAGACGTCCGTAATGTCGATTACAGACTTCAAAGACGAGAGAACGTGGTTGAGGAGTCGCGTGAGAAGAGCGGCTCCGGACAGTTCCAATTTAGGGATAGTTAAGCGGGACCTGATGGGAGCAACCTTGCTTTTAGCAAGTAAGAGATGGACGGAAGCATGGCCAGAAGAGCTCACAGTCCGCAAATATACGACAGCAGCATAGCCGTTCTCAGAGGCGTCGCAAAATCCATGTAGGGTAGCCCTGCATTTCCCTGGAGGGGGAAGCACCTTAGCATGGAGACTCGGTTGATGTCCGGAAGGGAGGACACAATGGAGTGCCACTCTCGCAAGAAAACCGCTTATAGAGTCGTCCCAACCCAACCCGGATATCTAGAGCTTTTGAAGAAAGCATTTAGCCATAAAAATGACCGGAGTGATCCATCCATTAGGATCGAAGGTGCGGGCTACTGTAGGAGCGCTTGGTCCATGATTTAGGAGGGGTTCATATACGTGAAAGTATCCTGAACAGGCTGATATTGAATGCCCAGCACAGTCAACAAATTAGGATTTTCATGGTGCTCGAATATATGAGGGTCTTGTTGATCCTCTCCTGGGAGGTCCTTCAAAATATCAGGGTAGTTCGACCACCATTTGCGCAACTCATAACCTACGGACTTCAGGATGGCAATCAATTCGTCTCGCAATACAAGAGCCTCCTCGACGGTGGAGGCGCCCGTGCAAATGTCGTCCATGTAGACCGAAGTCTCCAAAATAGAAGCCCCCCAAGCGTATTTTAGACGCTCTCTCTCAGCGAGTTCGAGGAGGGTTCGCATGGCAATATACGGGCTGGACCAGAGTCCATAGGTAGTGGTGTTCAACTCAAACACCTGTATCGGATCGCTGGGCTTCCCGCGCCACAATATCAGTTGATATCGACGGTCATCACGATGGATCACTGATTGTCGAAACATCATCCGAATGTCGGCTACAAAAACGACTTGGTGCCGACGGAAGTCAAAATGTCGGATATATCCTTGATCAATTTAGGACCAGAGTGGAGACACTGGTTCAGGGGCACACCATTTGACGAGGGGGCGGAGCCGTCAAAAACTACCCGAATCTTACTCCCAGGGATCCTCAAGACCGCAATGTGAGGGAGGAAGTATTCCTCCTGTGATCGCCAGTCGAAGTTGGACAGTGACATGTGACCCAGCTCTTGATATTCGCGTATGAATTCGACATATTTGTCGCGAAAGGCTGGATCGCGCCGCATACGGCGCTCCATGGAAAACAACCTCTTTTCGGCCAGGGTACGAGATTGGCCCAAAGGGGCCGTGAGTCAAGAAAGGTTAAGCAAGTGACAAAACGACCGTCGACACGACGGCCGGTATTGTTCTGGTAGAACAACTCGCACTCACGGTCCAGAGGGTTGAATCGAGATGCGTGTGGTGGCTCCTCAATTTCCCAGAACCGCTGTACGACGTCCGAAAGGGACACGCCCACCACAGAGAGCGGGTCGGCCAACTGAGGAGTTGGAGACCACAGAACCGCTCCAAAGAAACTGTGCCCAAATACAGTGGACATGGCTGACAAGCCATCGGGCTGTAGGGCTCGTATCTCGCCTAACAAGATGAACCCCAGCGCGTCGGCCCCCAGAAACAAATCTATAGGCCCAGGTTGGGTCCATTGAGGGTCTGCCGGTCTCAAACCCGACGCTCAACGAACCGCGCTGTCATTTATACGGACGTTAGGGAGAAAATCTATAATGTCATCGAGGACATTTACTTTAACTAGAAGGTAAACTACTACTTTAAAAATTAGTGTTCGCTGGCAGGGCCAAACACCAACTTTGCTTGTCCCCTAGGAGCAGGAGGTTTGGCACCTCCGATGCCTACCATTGGACGTGATTCAAAGCTCCAGGGGAGCCCTAGTCTTCCCACCAACCAAGTGGAGGCCACACTGCGATGTGAACCCGAATCCAATAGAGTGCGAACCGTTTAACAGTCGCCACTCGGGTTGTACACCTTCACTGAGGCCGTCGGTAATAGAACAATTTGACAAGTAGACTGTTGACGGCTCAAAGGATCAGTGGAGGCGGCCGTGGTGGGAGCTAGGGCGGCAGCTACCTAGCTGGAGATGCCTCCATCGGACCAGCACTCGAACCGGGGGTCCCGAAAGCGGCATTCTGGCGGCATCTCAATGACCCGTGGTTGGAAATCACCAAACGGGCCAACCTGGGAAGCTTCGGGAAACCTCGGCCTTGAGGCCCGGGACAGATTCGAGGCCGCAGGAACCCCATAGTACCGGTACCTACCAAAAGGGGGGGGTGGTACTCCAGTCGCGGCCACTCAGCTAACGGGGGTGAGAAGGGTCTGGCTGACCGCTGAGTGGCCGTGAAGTTCCTCTCAACACGCTGAGGGGGGGCGACGACGCCCCCTCCCCTGGCGGGACGACTCCCCGACTGGTCGAGGGAGGGTCGCTTCTGATATCTCTGAAAGAGGGACTAAGGGATTTGGCAAAATGACTCGCGTATCGACATCGTCATAGGGTATGCGATACCCGAGTTTAAAAATTATTTACAGAGGAGTGTTTGTGTCCACGCTCACGTATGCAGCAGAGTGCTGGTACGAGCGGGCGAACATGTACACAGTCCGTAGCGTACTACTGAGATCGCAACGATCTGCACTTGTCTTGTTGACCAAGGCGTACCGGTCCACTGGCACGGCGGCCTTACCGGTGCTGGCTGGCGTTCTCCCTGCTGACCTGGAGGTCATTCGTGCTGGTAGGATGGGTTTGGAACGCTTGACCGCGCCCAGAGAGCAGTTGAGCAGACGAAAGCGCGATATCTGGACTGAGGTGATTGGCGTATGGCAGAATCGATGGAAGAACGAAACGAAAGGACGTGAGTTAAATCGATTTTTCCCGGAGGTGGCGTTGAGACTCAGGTATATCTGGGTCTCACCGGACTATCAAACATCCCAGATTCTCACTGGACATGGATGTTTTCGGAAGAGGCTGCATGACATGCGACTGTGTGAAACCAGTATGTGTGAGTGTGGTACGGCAG